TGAAAAGAGTGGTATATATATAGGAACACTCTCATGTTTTATGTTCATAGAATAAAAGAGAGAGTGTGAGCACTTGTGCGGAGTGTGCTTGTGCGAGAGTGCGTGCGTGTAAGAGGGCAAAGGACGCTTAATTGTACACTTTACACTTCGCACGCTTGCATCCCCGCAGGCATCCCTCGACTGAGCATGTGTACAGATTGGGCTCGTGGCTCAGGTCCATTTCTACATGACAAGAATCCCACACATGCGCACGAAGGGGTTGCAAGCATTGGCACATGCGAGTTCCAACCGCTAGTGTATGTTGATATTGTTCAATGATCAAACTATTAATAATTGTTGAATGATGACTACCGAAAATCCAACAGTCACTTTTCTTGTGAACAGTGATATTAACAGTCACTATTCACTTTTTAATGGGGCCTTTTTATTCCCTCGACCGAGCACGTGTATGGGTTGGGCTCGTAGCTCAAGTCCATTTCTACGTGACACGAGTCCCACACACGTGCACGAAGGGGTACAAGCATTGGCACATGCGAGTTCCAACCGCTAGTGTATGTTGATACTGTTCAATGATCAAACTATTAATAACTGTTGGACGATGACTGCTGGAAATCCAACAATCACTTCTCTTATGAACACTGAAATTAACAGTCATTATTCACTTTTTAAAATGGACTTTTTATTCCCTCGACAGAGCACGTGTACGAGTTGGGCTCGTGGCTTAGGTCCATTTCTACGTGACACGAGTCCCACACATGTGCACGAAGGGGTGGAAGCGTGGCACGTACGAGTTCCAACCGCTAGTGTGTGTTGATACTGTTCAATGATCAAACTATAAATAATCTTGGATGATGGTTACTGGAAATCCAACAGTCACTTGTCTTGTGAACAATCATATTAACAGTCATTATTTACTTTTTAAAATGGACTTTTTATTCCTCTTTTTTATCACTTTTTACTATTTCGAAATCTCTCTTTCAATATTTTCTTACTATCTTTAGCTATTTGAAAACAAAAAAATGAGCCACTTTCTCTCTCTAAATCAAGTAACTCTCATGCTAAGTAAACTAATATTGATGATTGATGTCTTGTATTCTGAGAAAATAATCTGCCAAGGTGGAGTCCAAAGGACGACTCCGGAGGGCCGTTAAAAGCCCAAAGGGCTTGAGGCCCGAAGGAGTGTCCAGCCAGGTAGATTCAGCCCTTACAGGGGGGTTGGGGGGCGGTAGCCCCCGAGGAAAATTTCGGATATCCGTACATGGGATTCGATATATCTGGGATTCGATATATATCTGTACATTGGGTATTTCGGTAATTTCTACCATCTATCTGAGACTTGATATATATTGTTGCAATGTGGGGTTTTTTAGGGTTAAGGGAAAAATGCAAATCTCTTTATAATCAGAGAGAACAGAGAGGCGTGAGGAAGAAAACTATTGTAACCATATTCTTCATTGCCAATAAAGAAGCTCTCATCTCCCGTGGACGTAGGCACGTTGCCAAACCATGTATATCTTTGCGTTGTGGTTGGTTGTCTATTTCTTTTGTGTTTATTTCTTCTTTTTTATTTTCGTGGATTACTTTTCATTTCTACTACTAACCTATACTGTGAAAAATTAAACGAGTATTTTCATCTTCATTTAGTTTACAGATATCCCAAGGACTGATTTTCCCCATTTATCTTTTTACACAATGTTATTCTACAGTAAGGGGACAAATTACAGTCTTGAGAGAGTGCATAACATGGTTGTAAATAGGAAGTTTCTCTCTTTAAATTCAGGAAACTCTTGCGCTAAATAGACCTAAACTGTGCTAAATAAACCTATACTGTGCAAAATTAGACAAGCATTTTCATCGACATTTTGTTTACAGATATCCCGAGGGCTGATTTTCCCCGGTTATCTTTTTGCACAATGTTATTATAAAGTAAAGGCAAATTATAGTCTTGAAAGTGCACATGATGTGGCTGTAAATAGGAAGTCTCTCTTCTCTCTATTTCTTTCATTCCTTGATTACTACAAATTTCAGCCTCCGTTTCATCCCACACCAATTTTTCAACAATTCAAAATTGTAATTTCGGTGAAACAATGGAAACAAGTATGAGTTCCATCAAAGTTATGAATCAAGACTTTGCAAAGTTGGGACAAATTTCAATATGTTGCAATCAGATCTCATGTTTTTGTTGACCACCGTAAGGTGGCTTATGTGATATCCACTTCTCATACCTAATAAAAATAAGGAAAATTATTTTATTATCTTAAACACAAGATGTATAGATGTAAATAGGAAAAAAAAATTTCAAGTCCTAAAAGTAGTACATCTTGTAGCAGGTTATTTGAACCATCTATTTTTAAGATTTTTAAGTTTTTATAGATAGGAGAAAACTAAAAATCCCCTATGTCCCCAAAGTTTATAAAAGGATTCGAACTTGGAAGAAGCCCCTAATCATTATTTTTCCTTTTTCTTTCTTGAAAATATCGTCTTCTTTTTTCTATTATTCTCATGATCCAAATCACTTTATCATCTCCCTTTACTCCCATCAATTCTCACTCCTATGGACCTTTCCCCTTTCTCTCTCTACTCCATTAATCTCGTCCCTTTCTCTCTACCCATAACCCCCCTCTCTCTCTACCCCATTAACGTCCTCTCGTTCTCTCTACCCCATGAAATCCCCCTTTCTCTCTCTACCTCATTATCCTAATATTATTTATAAGAGTAAATAATAGATAATCTCTCTCTCCTTCAATGGGAATGTGAGTGGACGGAATTAAAAGAAGGAAAAATGATTAGGACCATAGGGAATAAGTGAAAATGTTTCGAGAAAGAAAAATACAAACTAGGTATTAAGGAGTCTTTCGACCCATTTTATAAAATCGATCTGCACCATTTTAAAACTTTAAATTTCACAGTTATAATTGACATGGGTTTTGAAGCCATCATAAAGTTTTTGACACCGGAACTTACATCTTCTAACAAAATTTAGAGGTGCACTTTGTATAGTATAATGTGGCCACCCTATGCAAACCTCACCTTCTTTTAATTAGATTTTGTTCCCCACTTAAAATATCAATTTGCATCTGTATTTTTGTGTTGGGAAACCCTAGATACCATTTCAAAATTATACCCTTTGAATTTATATTCTTTGGAAAATATTATTTTATGAGTAATGATCCTATGAGATTCTCCCACACACATGTATGTAGGACCTCCAAAGATCACTATTAAATTCGACACAAATCTTTAAGAACGTTATCACATAAGTGTAGGACTTGACTTTTTTAGAGATTTGTGCCAAATTTAATGATGATCCTTTGAGGTCCTACACACGAGTGTGGGAAGGTCTCACAAGATCATTTCCTTTATTTTATTTAAGAGTAGTTGGTTTCTTGTCCCACGTTGGATAAGAGACAAGAGAAAGTAGAATAGTCTTTTTGTTATACTCCAAAGAACCAAGAGGACAGAAATTGTTGACGATTGAGTATCCCGTTGTGATGATTTATCCAGTTGCATGCGAATGAATTCCAACTAGGGTTACGGCTGAATTTGAGAAAGGGTCAAAGGGCATTTCCTCTCCGATCTTGAACTTCTCTCTTCAATTTTTTGCATAAAATTATTTCTCGTTTTCAAACCCTAACCAACTACTAGTTATATCTTATTTTCAAACCCTCAATCTTCTTGTGTAAATGTGATCTCAATGCAACTCTGGTTCTTTACAACTTGTTATACTTGTCCATTTTTGTAGCAAGATAATGACCCATTTTCTGTATGCTTGTGTCCTAAGGATAAATTTCCCTACTTGAATAACTTTATTTTCTGTATGCTTGTGTCCTAAGGATAAATTTCCCTACTTGAATAACTTAAATATATTTTAATTTTTCTCAGTAAGCGTTATAATAAAGCCTTCGTGCCTAGAAACAAGACGAATTTTAATACTTTCCATTTGTCACCAAAAGCTTTTGTGAGATTACAATTTTTCTATCCCATTTCATCCACAATTTTCAAACATTTTCATAGGGATTGTATACCACCATAAATCATGTTTGTCTAATGGTATACATGCGGACCCCACCATTTGATAAGCCATAGGAATGAAGCCTTCTAATGCTTTAGCAGAAAATAGCAAAGAGTGATTCATCACTGCACTAGTAAATACAGCTTGCTGCAACCAGTTTGTTCATGGGAAGTTAGCAGGCGTTTTGACAACAAGCGTGATTCTAACAAGGAAAGTTTATATAAGGATGCTACTTTATAATATGGAACTACGGATGCCCCTCAAAACTCCATCAGAAAAGGTAGTTTTAATGTTGAGAAACCCTTTGATTGATCATCTCGACATCGAGATGTATGACCATGAAAAATAAAAACATTTTAAGTCTCAGAAGTAATGCATTTTACGACATATTATCTACACCGTCCATTTTCAAAATTTTCATATGTTTATAGATCTACTTGATTTTAACCATTTTTTAGATTGAAAATTTTATAATTAGATATAAAAATAGATTTTGGGACAATCCTAATAACATTTTACATCAAAATTATATACCATGGTAAAATTTGAAGGGCACATTACCTCAACACCTACGGAGGCGTCCGTATGCAAACCCCTCCCTTCTAACAAATGGTTTATAGGGCTGTGCCAAGTTAGTACTCTAATTTCTCAATAACGGGTTCATAGGATAGCTAGGAGAACAATTTTGATTCATTTGTACAGAATCAGATGTTTCCCAATTCAAACAATGTTCAAATAAAAACAAGTAAATAACCAAGGGAATGGGATAACTTCAAGGTTCACTAGAATCGAAACATTCCACACGCTGTTGCTTAATGGAAAAATCTTACGACCGATAAATTTGTGCATGCACACGGGCCTTATGGTTTATCTTTTTTCAGGAAACCCTACCTCATTTCAAAAAAAAAAAAAGTAATAATAAATAAATAATAAAATCTATCATTTTCTATTATATCTAGAACATTTGCAATACATGGAAGTATCCCAATAAATAATATTAGTTGTCTTTCTTTGAAAATGCAATAATTGACCACGAAAAGAGAGTAAGTTCCACAATATCATGAAGATTGTGTCTCCAATAAGGTCTAGAACCTAAATTAAGAAAAAGAAAACAAGTAACCAAAATGTATCCCGTTCTGTTGTTGCCACAAAAATGGCATGTTAGAGCCAAATCTATTTACTTGTACTTTGGGGCGCCAACAGTTACACTGCGGCGCCTGTTGGCAGCCATATCTTGGTTGCCTTTTCTCATCATGGTAACAAACTCATCATAGTTTATCCTTCCATCCTGCCACCAGATGACTAGAAGTTATTCACAATAAATGGAGAAAGAATATGTGATTTCTTTCACAAGATATTTAGTCTGGTGTATCAATAAAAATGCTCATGACAATTTAAACTATTAGACATTAAAGATGATCTCTGTTTCCATGGAAACATAAAACAGTAGTAGAGCACATTGAGGTTACCAGAACAGCTCCATAATGTCAGGACAACCCCAACTTGTCTATGGCGTAGCAATTAAAACATTCAGAACAGAAGAATATATAATCGAAAAGAGAAAATTCATCAAATCACCTTCAAGAGATGCATATATGCTTGAAATTTGAAAAGCCCTCAAAACACACGCCACACTGGATCAATTATGGGTTAGAAATTGTTCGAGGGGCTGCATTTAATTTGGCCTCTCTAGTAGGAAAATACTCTTTGATAAACAACTTGTTGAGATATTAGTATTTTCGAAAACCAACACCTAATTCGATATTGGTACATTCGAACACCAATACTTTACTAAGTAAATACCATGATTTTGTTATTTGAATATGCATATCTTGTTAAGTCACAATGTGCAAATACCAATATTTTATGGATGTTAAAGTTTTTATAAGATATTGTTGTTTCCAAAAACCAATATCTCACTCTAAACACTTTACAAGGCAAAGGGTGTCTTTGAATACCAATTCTTCAAATAAATCACCAAATGAGATATTAACATTTTCGATCACTAATATCTTTAGTACTTATGAATACCAATATCTCATATGAGGTATTTCTAGTAAGGCATTGGAATTCGAAAATACAAATATCTTATATAGATAGTTTACCTGAAGAGAACATTCGTTTTGGAAGGACAAAACTACAAATCGGCCCTCCATCAACATGTAACCCCTTAGGATGTGTACTTGATGGTACCTTTATGGACATTCTAAAAGCAGGAGCATGTGAAGGGACGAAATACTAAATTGTGAATTTCTTTGGTGTGGTTTGATAAGTTTCTAAAGGAAAATCACAAGATATAATTGTGGGGTTTTGCCAGTTTTCAGATGTCACACTTTAACGTTCCAGTATGTACGGCATTTTGAAAATACATAGATCATAAGCAATGAACATACCCTATCTGTATCCACCTCAGCAATTATTTCATTGATAGTTTTCTCATCTCCCATGTTATACTTTTTGAGGGCTTGCTCTAATTCCTCCATTGTTATGTACCTGAAAAATTAAAAAAGCAATATACATGCGCAATTCACAAAGCTGCTTGTTCATTTCTCTCTTCTTTTTTGTTGACTATCATAAAACAAAGAGATTTATAACTTAAAGTACTTCCAAAAGATCTTACCCGCTTTTATCTTTGTCAAAATATTCAAAAGCAGTATACAAATGGTCTTCTTTTTCCATTCTGTTCAAGTGCATAGTTGCTGTTATAAATTCAATATAATCTATAGTTCCATTTCCATCAACATCTGCCTGCAAGGACAGCAGTCATGTTCTTTTTTAAAACTGTAAGACAATAAGATGATAACATTCACACAACAAAGGAATTTCAGAGAAGATTCACTCCTTTCCAGTGAGTATAATAAACTGATAACAGCAATTATTCAAGCAAAACCTAAATGCACATTTTCTTATGTCTTATATATTTAATCGAAGACATTTCCATTCTCTAAAAATATAAATAATAAGACCTCAAAGTTCTGGAGAAAATCATCCATGCAACAAAAGATTTATACAATTATCGTGTGGAGTACCTTTCAAAAATACACATGCCATTTTATATTTCAAAATACATGCTTTTTACTCTCTTTTTTTTCTTTAAACATTTGCAACAAAGCAGAGGCATATTTAGTCCTTATCCAGTACATTTCAAATAGATCCTTCACAGAATTATGTACAGGTTCTTGTATTTTTCTTGATAACTAATTTCTGGTTTCCTTTTCAATGCATTTTGAGTTTGCCTTGCAAACAAAAAGATCATATGGCAAAAGAGATACTCAGGAGGATTTATCGCCCTGAAATTTTGGGATCCGCTTTAGAATCACCAGATAAGATTTCAAATTCCTAAACACTTGGATAGTACAGTCCAAAAACTGCAGTCTCTGTTCAATCTTAAGACGCTATTTTTTCTGGGCACATATAGAGTGTGTATGAATTACCTTTTTTAATTTTATTGAGTTTGATCGCTATGGTGAGTAAGTTATGTCCCCAAAATTTGGGGTCAAAGAAATGCTTAGGGTTTTACTCAAGTGAGTGAATGGACGAGTGAGCATATCATATTTTGGCTTGACAAAATACTACTTGATCAGTCATGATTCATATTGTTTGGCTCAATATGTTAGAATAGACCTTATAGAAACAATTGTGCAAGAATGATAATTTTAGGTACATATGAGCTTGTTGAGGTACTCCAATGACAAATGGACTCCCATCTATGTTGTGATAATTACAGCAAAGATTTAATTATTATATGATTTTCTGATACATATCCCATAAAGTCTAAAACGTGTATGCCATCATTGACTATGCTCAGAACCTCAGAAAGCCCACTCCTATACTATTTTATTACTTCTTCACTCTTTCATACAGAGAACATGTCAGTGACTAGGTTGGTTATAAAGTCCCAAAAGAAGTTGATGAAGTTCAATACTCCACATATATAAGTTGTCAGTGTTTCTCATATATTCATGTTCTTAGGATAAAAGCAAGCCAATCTCATGGAAAGTGATACTCTTCTATTGCATGGTACATGGGAAGTCAAAATCTGCAACAAAGGGTAGAAAATAGATCTCCAAACGCATTTAGGGGTTCACACCTATTGAAAACTGATAGCAGAGAAGCAGAAATGTGAACCACATGTAGCAGTTACCACAATCAAAGATAATACTTGAAACACAAATAAAGAAAAGAAAAGAAAAGAAATATCATACCGCCTCCATAAGTTGCCTAACTTCAGATTCAGAAATCCTGGTCCCCAGTTTAGGAAGTCCAGCTTTCAATTCCTCAAAAGTTATTGTTCCACTGTTGTCTGTGTCCATAGATCTGAACATCTCTTTTAATCCCATAATTTCTTCTTCAGAAAGGTTTTCTGCAATCACCTGACAAAAGCCATTCTGGGACTTTCAGCCAAAATATCTTTAGGGAGACCATTGATGGGCATTATTAGCGAAGGACAATAACTGCTCACCTTCAAGGCAACCTTTTTCAGTTTGTTCATTGCCCTGAATTGTTTCATTCTAGTTAAGACAGTAACATCAATTGGTTGGTCTGATGCCACCCCATCTTCTCTGATCCATGGATGATCTGCACATATATTATTAATCAAGAACAAGACACTTGAACAGAAACTGCAACTAGATGTTAGTGACGATCTTAACATAAATGACTATGCCATGTGTAGGCGCATATGTACAAATTTAAGGTGTCCTTTATAGACAGATACATATATACAGTGCAGGTCCTCAATTTTTCTAGGCAAGAGACAATAACATATAAATGGATAATTATGTACTATCCAATCATGTACATGCCACACCGACGTACATGTTATGGCTGCATCTGGAGGTCAATGTCTGTGCATGTGCACGAACACGTTTCTGTGCATACAAGTGCAAAGATTTTGTGAAAGTACAAGCATCAGAATCGTTGAGAAAAATGAAGTACATGCCGTATCAAGTTTCTGAAACTGGGGGCCAGATTCAGCCTACATGACAATCGTCTACGCAAGTCCAACTCTATTCAGCTAAAGCAAAAACCTACAACTTCATTAAACATTAAAATAATAACTTAAAGATAAGGGCACCTACTAAATTTTGGGGCAAATCATAGTTACCAGGATCTCCTAATCAAGGCGTCGATCCTGCTCCAGGATCTCACTGATAGGGATCAACAAGGGATCACTCCTGGCTACTCAAAGGGGAACAAGCATAATCTCTCTCTCTCTCTCTCTCTCTCTCTCTCTCTCTCTCTCTCTCATGCTTTCAGATATTGCGAAGTGTCAAATTTCAAACAAAGCTACTTGTTATGCTTTTGGGTGGTGTAAAGTATGAAATTCTAGATAAATCATATTTTTATTCCATTTTGTGGGATTAATGTTACATAAACTACACCTCAAAGGAAATATAAAAAAAATACTTATTAATTAAATAAAACTGTAGAATAACTACTTTTTTATTCAAACTGTAGAATAACTACTTTTTTATTCCTCATTTTTTGTGTGCCCAATTTTTTGTATTTTGCTAAATTGTTGGATTTTTTAAATTTTTTATAAAAAAATTTAGGTTATTCAGTTTTTTCATTATTATTTTCAAAATTGTATGGAATGCGCTTCAGACCTAGAGAGTTTCAGGAATGTGTTAATTCGTCACTCCCGCTCCCACTCTCATACTCCAAGCAACCAGAGGGCAATGATGGGCACATGCAAGCCTCATCAAAGGACTAACGAGTCAGAGTAAGACCCAAGTTCATTGATTCAACCCACTCGTTGCTTGAGTCAACTTCATGATGGAATAACCCAAGTCAATGAAACTTGGCACTAGTAGAAGAAGTCCCTCCATCAACTTGATGATGCACACATCTTAGAAAGTGTGGAGATTGTGCCTTACATTCAAAAAGGGAACCAAGGTATAACACTAAATCAGGCTAGTCTTGGCCAGGAAAAGGAACAATGGAGTTGGTGAATCCACAGATCCCTCAATATATAAAACTGGCAAATACACAGCAAAAATATAATGATTAGACCCATCCCTTAGTGAGTTCAGTAGAATTGACCTCATCAAGCCACAGATTGATTCAGTGGGTAACTGAACAAATGGCATAGGTAGCAGTAACTTTGTGTATTCTTAAGACCTTTCTCAGAAGGAAGTAAATTGAAAAATAGTGAATTTTCACAGATACGAGAAATTCATAAGAAATGTTCAAGAAGACTGAGGCTGCTGCCTGGCCAGTTGAGGGTCCAAACCACCTGGAGGCGACCACTGTGTAGAAGAATTTTTTTTTGGGAGTGTGCTGGGGAGGGGCGGGGAGCAGAAATGGGGGAAGAAAATATATTTTAATTTTTCAATTTTGCAAAAATTAGAAACATATCCAAAAATATATTATAATCACAACTAAAATAACAAACCATTAAAAAAAAAACTACTCATGAAGTTTCATCATAAATGTAAAGACAGACTTCAAAAATAAATACAAGAAAATGAAAAAAAGTATAACATGACACAATATTCACAAAAATATGAAACCCTAAAAATGTAGGTTTTGGGGCACACATCGAGTTCTCTAGGGCTTTGGGGGGCTAAAATGCCCCCCAAATATAATTTGCCCCCTGTTAAAGGGGGTTACATTTTTTGACCTTCTAGAAAGGGAAATTTCCAGCCTCGCCAAAAGGGCTCTGGGCGGGGACCCAATGTGCACCCTGGGAAACTAGTCAGCTGCCAAGGGAACCACCCTGTACTGGGCCGCATAGGCCCAAAGCAGTGAGGTGAGGCCTCCCAACTGCCTGGGCAGCCAACTTTTTGTATTCTGTTCATAAGGATCTAGTTATTGTCCAAATATACAGAGCCCCATACACATGTGCATGCATCAAATCTTGGCAAGCACAAAAATCACGTAATACCCCCAAAACCAGAACTCGTCAAAAAAAAAAACTAGGATTGGAGATATATGAAGAAGCATTGGATTTATTTGAACAGTATGAAAAAGAACCCATAATTCTTTAAAGGAAAATGTTTAGGGATTGTCTACAAAGAGACCATTTATCTTTTTTGCATAGAGGTCACAATCATTCTTGTGCCTTAAATTTCAAAATGGGTGCTTGTAAGAGAGTCATTGAATAGACAAAGTTCCAAAAAAAATTCTTGGACTTCTTGACTCACCCCAAGCCATCCAGTTTGATATCTAACGAGCGAAAATGATTGTGACCTCCATGTACAAAAGATAAATGGTCTCTCTGTAAACAATCTCAAAAGTTTATAGAAGGATACAACCTTAATTGTAGAAATAAGGTTGTATTAATCTATACCATCTATTTTAGTTGAACGGTGTAGATTTGATACTGTCTCAAAAGACATGCCACTTTTTTATACTAAAGCATGTCAAATCTATACGTCCAACTAAAATAAATGGTGTCGAACACCGCAAACTTACTTCTATAATTAAGGTTGCATCCTCATACAAACTGCACCCTTCTTTAAATCAGTAAAATACTATTGCAAATTTAGCACATCACCATTCTCGAACAAAGAAAATGATAAAAATATTGAAAAAATTTACATTAAAAGTGCAAGAATGAAAAGAGAAATTGCTTTAAAAGCAAATTACTTGGAAAGAAACAAACTCCTACAAATTATGCAAAGACTTTTCCCCAAGATTTCAGAAAATCAGAGATACCTAATCATTTAGTATACAATAACTCAAAAGGAAAGGAAAATAACTATTCAATTTTGCTTTTAAGCTAAGAAAGATGACTATTAAGTATGGCAATGGCCTTTTGGTTATTCAAGGGAACCGATGAATGCATACAATCATATACATCTGATCATCTGACTTCCCGTTACTTATAAAAGATTAACAAGTGCTCCCAGACTCACACATTGAGATTTCCATCATAAAGCTTACTCAGAATTTGACTAGCAGAAAGACGATCCCTAAGATTAACAAGTGCTCATAAACACACACTTCGAGATTTCCATCATAAAGCTTACTCAGAATTTGAATAGCGGAAAGACGGTCCGTAGGATCTGCCTTTAACATCTTCTTCACAAGTTCTTTGGCACCACTAGATATGGAGGGCCAGGGATCAGAAGAGAAATCAATATGCCCACGCAGAATAGCATCAAATATCCCATGTTCATTCTCTGCATATTGGTTGGACAAGGAGCAAAAATAAACCCATGCGGCTAACCATTAAGCACAACTAACTCTCAACCTATAATTATCAAGAAATACGGACCTGCCCAGAAAGGAGGAACACCACTAAGAAGAATGTAAAGTATGACCCCAGCACTCCAAATATCAGCTTCTACTCCATAATGTCTTCTCAAGACTTCAGGGGCGACATAATATGCACTTCCAACAAGGTCCCTGAACACTTCTCCTGCACCAGCCTAAAATGAGGTAAATAAATGTCTTCAATTCCTCAATAGTCATATTAAGAACAAAAATTAGAAAAATAATAATTAAAAAAGAAATAAATAAATGAAGCGCCAATAGTAACCAATCAAAAAGATAAATAAACAAACTACCTATAATGGAGATTACAACTCTCAAGCTTCCTTGTCCAAAATTACCATGCTGTCCATACATAAGCAATTGATAGCAAGCATTTAACAATTCATTCAGTCGACGGATCAGAGAAGGGAATATAGCAAACACATCTTAAGCTGCACAGCATAAATCATGATGACACCAGATGGTATATCATTCCATAAGATTCGTCTGTAAACAGATTGTAAACATGAATAACTGCACAGAACACTCTCCCCAATGCTAGGCCAGGAAAAGATTATGCTTGGGTTTTCATCAAGTAGACACTGATATCAGGATAAGCATATATAAATCAACCAAAGTTGAGGAAATGTGCATGAGCAAAGAGTGCCATTTGTTTAACCATGAGTTAAAGTTGATGCGCATAATTACATCAGCATGGACATTGAGTAAGCAGCCAACAAGATAGTCCTACATGACTAGCTTCGAATCCTACAGTTTATAGATATCGACACTGATATGTGAAGCATGGATTCAACTCAATATGACAACCTTATTCGTTTTTTGCTCTAATAGTATAGATGGTAAGAAGTTCTCAAGAAACAGATCTGGATAAGTATGATGAAGAATTACGAACATATCAAATTCAATTGTCCTTGAATTGCGCAGAAACTTTCAGACTATGTGTTCATGCCTCTAGAAACGTTTTTTGACCAAATTCCCTTCACAAAACAAGCATTCCACATAATATTGCTCATGCTTTTGTTTATGAAATGAGGACATAATAGCGATTCTAGTACCAGAGGCAAAGGTTATGGATGGCCCTGGAAGTTGCAATATCGAAAAATCACTAAAATCAAACTTCTCTAGTTGGAGAGAAACCCAGGTAATCATGTCTCAACTCTGCAAATTTTTAAATGAAAGCCAATAGTTTTCCAACAAATCAAACCCTCAATAACTCAAAATCAAACGCTAAGTTCACAAAAAGGAGATTGTCACTTTCATAATGAAATAATGAGAGATTATTGGAAGTGCAAAGATCACTGTCAAACTCATACTTCATTATTTCGTGTGGACTGGATTAGCTTCCTTTATACCCTCGCTTTAACTGCTCCACTTTGAAGGGGCAACTGGTAAAAATTGGCTATAACGGCTGAAAACTACAGCCCATTAACTCTAAATCCACAGATTTCAAGATTGATAGACACCCTAGGGTTTCGTGGTTTCCCTTGGCATTGAAGAAATTTAGAGAACAATATTTCTCTAAAATTCTATACACCCATAGAGAGGGATGTGAGTTCTATTTATAATTATTGTGTACTCATCCTTGATTGGCTCAATCAAAGATGTAATTACAACAAATCTGTACAGATAAGAAAGATATTACAATATACCATGTTAATCCTTAACATTATCATTCTCTAGATCATTATCATTATTCTTATTACTCCCCCTCAAACTAAATGTGAAACATGGACAACTTGTTTGCTATCGAATGATGTTGTGAAGTAGGAAGACCTTTTGTAAAAATATCAACAATTTGTTCTGTAGTTGAAACATAATCAGGAGTAATCTGTCCACTTTCAACCTTTCCTCGAATAAAATGATAATCCAGTTCAATGTGCTTGATCTGTGCATGAAGAAGTGGATTAAAGGAAAGCTTAATTGCACTTTGATTATCACAACATAGAATTACATGTTGAATTTTTATTCCCAATTCTGATAGAATGTGGCGGTACTAAGTGATTTCAACAGTTGTAGAAGACGTTGCTCGATATTCTGCTTCTGAACTTGAGCGTGAAACAATCTTTTGCGTTTTACTACTCCAAGACACTAGCGATCCTACAAAGAAAATACAAAATCCAGATATTAACCTTCTTGTATCGAGATCTCCAGCCCAATCTGCATCAGAATAGGTAGGTCAACCTATCTTCCACCAATAAGAAAGAAAAGACCATTAGCCAGGGTACCCTTCACATATCAGAGAATCCTTTTAGCTGCTATGAGGTGCATCTCATGAAGATCATGAATAAATTGACATATTTGATTGACAGCGTAGGTGATATCTGGTCGAGTGAATGTAAGGTATTGTAACCCCCAATAAGACTTCTATACTTTTCTAAATCTTGAACATGGTCAGCATCTCTAGCAGATGATTTCTTTGTTGTAACCATTGGCGTTGGTGATGGCTTATAGTTACTCATTCCAAATTTTTCTAAAAATCCCAATGCATACTTGTGTTGTGTCAATTTTATACCTTGTCTCGTGCACTCAACTTCTACACCTAGGATATACTTTAGATTTTCAATATCCTTCATGGTAAATTGTGCTCCGAGCATTATCTTTAGCTGCTTTATTTCATCCTCATCATTCCTGGTTACAATATCATTCTCCTAAGGTTTTTGAACCAATTCTTTCTGACGGCTCCACCATACCATACATTGGAATGCTCAGTTTGGACACTCAGTTGCAGCTCCACACAATAGACAGAACAGTAGGGGTACAATTGATTTACACTATACTGAAGGGAACTTGTGGGAGATGGAATACTCAATTTAGTGGATTCCAAGACTTCCTCGTCCTTGGAAGCAAGCTACCTTCTTTGCCAGACTCAAGTTGCTGCTTCTAATTCTCCTCAGCCTATGTCTTAAGCTTCCTAGGGACATGTCCGAAGATCAAGGTCAGCCGGATACTTCGAATGTTTGAGCCCCTTCTTCTTCTCAAGTGCATCAGCAGCCAGTGAATACGATGAACATTGACCCCTGGCCTGTTCTTGAACATAGAGAAGCACCATCACTAGCCTTTGCCCTTTCCTTTTTAGAAATAAGGAGTTGTCTGCAACACTTCAAGAATAACCCCCTGTAAGAAGGGCTTTGCAGAAGCCTTCAAACCGAGCTCGTGGGGCTTGTTTGATGCTATAAATTACCTTCCTTAATCTACACACAAGATCAGACCCTTTGGATTCTCCATACCTTGGTGGTTGCTCCATGTAGACTTCTTCTTGGAGATCACCATGTAAAAAAGCATTTTTGACATCTAAGTGATGTAATCTCCAACCACAGAGCTTAACATTGCTAATGCTAGTCTGACAGTTCCCATCTTCACAACAGAACTAAATGTTTCTTCACAGTCCAACTCATACTTTTGATTATAACCTTTAGCCACCAATCTCGTTTTGTATCTTTCAATAGTGCCATCAGCCTTGTACTTGATTTTATAAACCCACTTATATCCAAAAACATTCTTATGTTTTGGTCTAGGTACAAGATCCGAAGTGTGATTTTGATGAAGAGCAAGCAATTCCTCATTCATAGCCTCAATCCAGTTGGGGTTTTTTATGGCTTCTCTGTAGGTATTTGGCTCTATATGTTTAGTGAGAGCAATGAGAACTGAATAATATTCAGAGTGTGCACCATAGGATGCCCAATCTTCCATCAGAAAGAACCTTCGTGGTTAAACATCTCTAGAGGACAGATGTGGCTGATTATTGTGGGTTGGTGCACTTGAAATACTTTCAATGGAGGGATTAAAATTGCTACCATCACTCAGTACTTGGCCAATAACTACTATCAAGGACTCAAAGCTACTCTGTAGCAACGATTGAGATCTAGCCAATAACGTGTCCCCGGCAGGCGGTATAATAAAAGAAGGTCAAGGTTGTGAGTCATCCTTCTAGCAAATTTTCTGTGCTTCCTTATAGAATCATCCCTCACCGAAGGCCACATGATGAGAAACATGTATCTTTCCCCTAGCAGTAGAGTAGCATCGATATCCTTTATGCTGGTCATTATACCCAACAAACACACATTCTTCTGCCTTTGCAGAGAATTTTCGCCTTAAGGATTTATCAATATGAACATAACACATGCAACCAAAAGCACGTAAAATTGAATAATCAGGAACTTTTCCTATGAGCATTTAATATGGTGACATGTTGTTTGGATTGGCAAGGTCCGTAACCGATTAATAACGAACACAGCTGTATGAAATGCCTCACTCCAAAAATGCATTGGTATCCCACTATGAAATACTATAGACAACCCCAATTCACTGATGTATCTGTGTTTTCACTCTACCACACCATTTTGAGCAGGTATATGTGGACAAGAGAACTGTTGTTTGATACCATGAGTTTGACAGAAGGATCTAAAAACATGAGAAGTAAATTCACTACCATTATCACTACGAAGGAATTTAATTTGTAGTTGATAATGTTTTTCGGTGAAGTCTTTGAAGGATTGAAAAACTTGAAGTGCTTCAGATTTGGATTTTAGAAAATATATCCATGTAAAGTGGGTGAAATCATCAACAAAACTAATATAATAGCGAGAGCCCGAGGGAGAGATAACATCAGATGGTTCCCAAAAATGAATATGAATGAGTTCAAGAAAGTGAAAAGTAAATTTATTGGCATTAAAGAAAGTACTTGATGATGTTTTCCATGCTGACAGATTTACAAACAATGTTAGCTTGGCACTTTATTACATAAAGAGGGCAAGGCCTTGAGTTTATTTAAGTGGTTTACTACAGCGTAGTTGGTATGAGCTAATCGATCATGCCATAGTTCTGCAGAGACTTTAGGACTACTTTTAGAGGCTAGGACAGAAATAAACAAGGCATGGACTTCATCACTTTTAAGAAAATAGAGATTTCCCCAACGTTTTCCTTTAGCGAGGAGCTTCTCGGACCGTAGATCCTTCACCAACAGAGCAGTTAGTGTAAATACAAAGGAACAATTAAATTGGTCAATAAATTGAGATACAGAGAGGACATTTTTCTAAAATTTAGGGGCAAAAAAAATATTAGGCACTTTTAGGGAACCCATGGACGAAGCAACAAAGGCAATACCAATATGTGAGACAGTAACTGAAGAACCATCACCCATAATGA